CAGAGCTTTAGAATGCCAATTCCATTTATTTAGATGATATACTATCATCTAAATCAAAATGCTCTGAAGTACTCTAAGGACAAAGAAGGTATAATTTTCCAGCATTGGAGTGCATGAACTTTTCACATTGGCAAGTATAAGGACCTGACACACTAACAAAGACCTAACTGAGTTGTACACAAAGATATTTCTGGTTATTTTAAATTTAAAATACAGAGTGTTACAAAATCTACCTATCAACAGAATCAGAGGACAAGGGAGAATAAAGAGGGTAGAAAATGAAAGCAAAATAAATCTTCATTTTCCAAAAAATGTCTAAAATTGAAAAGATTAAGATATCAGTATAAGCATTTTATTCAGAAATATGAAAGCTAATATCAAAAGAAGCACTATGTGACCCATAGAAACTAGCCAGAATAGGAAGTTGGGGAGGTAGGGCAGGAGACAAGATCTGCCCCCCTACCTTTAAGTTGTAGATGGACATAATACCTTTATTTATTTATTTTTATGTGATGCTGAGGATTGAACCCAGTGCCTCACATGTGCCAGGCAAGTGCTCTACCACTAAGCTACAACCCGAAATCCAAAAAGGACTGCTTTTTATTGCTATTATAAGCCCTGAAATACTAGTTGATTTTTTTTAATTCCTTTTTTTTTTTTAATATTATAGCCGGGTACAGTGATGTACACCTATAATTCCAGCAACTTAGGAGACTGAAGCAGGAGGAACTCAAGTTTAAGGTTAACTTAGGCAACTTAGCAAGAATCTATCTCAAAATAAAAGATAAAAAGGGCTGAGAATGTAGTTCAGTGGTAGAGTGCTCCTGGGTTCAATTCCCAGAATAGCAAAAATATTAAATCTAACCTATTTTATGCAAATTGAGACCACTAAAATACCTTTTTCCCCTCTTCAGAATGGCAAATATCCAAAATGATGATCATATACACTGGTAGTAAGGCTACAGAAAAAGATCCTCTCATATCTAAGCAAGAATGTAAAATTTTAAAAAAAATTTTTTTATATGGAGGGTTTCATTGTATTGTCCAGGCTGGTCTCAAACTTTAGGAGTCCTGTGATTTTCCTGTCTCAGCCCCCTGAGTAGCTGGGACAACAGGTACACATGACCCTGCACCTAATAAGAATGTAAATTTGTGCAACACATGTGGGACAACTAGAATGAAGTAATCAAAATTAAAATGTATATATTGCTAAGCATAGTGGTGCATGTCTATAATCCCAGAGGCTAGGAAGGCTGAGGCAAGAGGATGGAGAGTTCAAAACCATCCTCAGCAACTTAGGAAGGCCCCAAGCAACTCAGCAAGACCCTTCCCAAAATAAAACATAAAAAGGGCTGGGGATGTAGCTTGGTGGTTAAACACCCCTCAGTTCAGCCCCCAATATTAAAAAAAAAAGTATATATTAATTGACTCTGTAAGGCAATTTTTAGGAATTTACCTTACAAGCATATTTGCAAATGAGTGAACCAATCTGTGTAATATTATTTATAAGAGCAAAAGATAATAATTGTCCATCAATAGAACACTAGTTTAATAAGTTACAATTTATCTAAACAATGAGACTGACGGATCTGCAATATACCCCCAAAGGCCCATGTATTCAAGGCTTGGTCCTCGGCCTTACACTACTGGGAGATGGAATCTTTAAGAAGTGGGGCCTAGTGGAAAAAAGTCAGGTTGTTAGGGGGTATGCCCTTGAGGGTTACATTGGGTCCTGGCCACTTTCTGTCTCTCTGGTTCTCAGCTACCATGAGGTGAGCAGCTTTCCTCTGCCACACGTTACTACCATTCTGTATTGTGCCACCAAGTGTCTCAAAAGCAATGAAGCCAACTGAATATGGGCTGCAACTGTGAGCAAAAATAAATCTTCCCTTTTTATACACTGATTGTCTCAGGTTTCTGTCATAGTAACGGAAAGCGAACACAGATAATATGTAAATATTTTTAAAAAGAGCAGTTCTTTAAATATTGAAATAGTAAGATAATATTGTTAAATGAACATAATAAAGGAAAAAATGTTTTTGCATTGGCCTGCACATACATAAATATTAGAAGGAATCAAAAACTAGTATAGTACTGATTTTGGTGGGAATGGAAACTGAAAGAATAGGAAACTAGAGGAAGAAGGACTTTGAGTCAATCTCTTTAGATTTTGACATTTGCCTCAGCCTCCTGAGTTAGGTGCACCACCATGCATGGCTTAACACCTTTTTAAAAAAGATCCTTGCCTAGTAAATTAAATCGAAACTGAAAGCTTTCATTTTAACTTAAATAATAATCATTTCAAATCAGAAATTCAATCAATGGGTCCAAGAAATGTGTCAATAAGAACTAATAAACACTAATATACTACAACTGCATTACTAACTGGGAAAAAAAAAACCGGGAAGTTCCAAATAAGAGTATTTTTTTCTTTCCCTCTGAGTGTGGGGAGTGGGGGGACTGATCACAGGAATGCTCTACTACTGAGTTACATCTCTGGTCCTTTTTATTTTTTGAGACAGGGTCTTACTAAGTTGGAGGCCTCAAAAAACTTCCAATCCTCCAGCCTCAGGCTCCTGAGTAGCTAGGATTACAGGTATGTGGCACCATACCTGGCTTATTTTCTCATTTTGGTTGTGCGAAATTTGCCAGGAGTTCCAATTCCATAATATCATCAATTTGCCAATAAATATCATTCTCATTAGATTTGTAGAGGAAAAAGGAGAAGGACCCAAATTAAAGCATTAAAAAAGTATATATTAATATATTCTAAAAAGGAATTATTTATAATTATATATTATTAATATATTCTAAAAAGGAGAAGGACCCAAATTAAAGCATTAAAAAAGTATATATTAATATATTCTAAAAAGGAAATAGAACCAAAAAAGGTAATTTCCCAAGGTTAAAAGGGTAAATGTGAATCCTTTCTATAAGTCTGCTTTTTCAAGGGCACTATTTTTCTACTCTAATCTAAAAACTCTCCCATAATCTAAGACCTGATTACCATAAATATTATTTTGGGGAATGAAGTTTCCATTTAGAAAAACTAATAAATTCTTTCTCTTTTTTAAAAACTCCAAGTTAGAACAACAAAGAATTGGAAACTGTAACAACATAGAATTTCTAGAAATCTAAAATACATTCTAAGTAGAAAACCAGAAACCACATAATACTACTCTTCTCTTCTGCTATTAAAAGACACAAGCTCCTCATCTTGCTTAGCATTAGTCAGCAGCAGCAGCTGTATGTGTGGGAGCAGGGAGAGCTGAAATGGAGCAGAGTGGGAATATATATGTTTGTCTCCTCCTACTTCACAGCTAGAGTGTGTGTGTGTGTGTATCTCAGGTGGCTGTAACCCAAGTGGAACAAGCCAAATCATCCTCAGCTCTATTATTTTTCAGTAACTGATTTAAACAATGCCCATCATTGCATCCCCATCCACTATATACATGTATAAATGCCATTCCTCCTATCTTCCCTAAGCCCAAATGAGCAAGCCCCTTAAGGGAATCAAGGCAGTTACTATGCAAAAAATAAAAAATAAGAGCAACTTTATTTACTGACTCTTATTCCATGCACACAGAAAAAGTACCTCCTAATTCCTCTGTTAATTTAAAAAATTAAATTATCAAATAATAAATATTTAATGTGAATCTACTATGTGCCAATATATGTAATTTACAAATTACAAAAGATAGAATATTCATCAGGCCTTTTTTAAAAATGAAGAAATTCTGACACATGCTATAACAGAGATGAACATTAGGGATATTATATTAAGTGAAATAAATCAGTCACAAAGAGACAAATACTGTATAAATTTACATATGTAAGGCACCTAGACAGAAAATAGAATGGTAGCTGTCACAGGAGGGAAATGGAAGATATAGTTTAATGTGTGCAAATTCAGTTTGGGAGTATGAAAAAAGTTGTAGAGATTGAAAGTGGTGGTGGTTGCATAACAATGTAAATGTGCTTAATGCTACAAAACTGTACACTTACAAATGGTGGGCTAGAGATAAAACTCCATGGTAAGAGTGCTTGTTCTGGGTTTCACCATCATCACCAGGAGGCAAAAAAAAAATATATATATATATATAGATAGATATAGATATAGATATATATAGAGAGAGAGACAGAGAGAGTGGTGAATTTCATGTTATGTGTATTCTACCACCCCCACCACCACAACAACAAAACTGTTAATAAAATTTTGAAAATTTAGTCAGGGGTAGTGGTGCACACCTTTAATCCCAGTGAGGCTGAGACAGGAGGCTCACGAGTTCAAGGCCATCCTGGACAACTTAGTGAGATCCTGTCTCAAAATAAAAATTGTTTTAAAAGGCAGGTGGTATAACTCAGTGATTGAGCACCCCTGGGTTAAATCCCCAGTGCCACACACAAAAAAAATTAAGAAAGAAATAGGTGATTTCTTGATCAGCTAGAAATAATAATCAAGGAAGAAAAACAAAAAATCTAAATAGATCTGGAGTATGACAGTTTCTTACAAGATATCTTTAAAAGCATAAGAAAGCTCTTAACTGACAAGTACTATAAGAAAGCTTTTCATTTCATTCATTATTCAACTAATATTTACTGAATATTTTCAACATTAACAACTTGTGAGAGCTTGGGTAGGAGGGTACTCTTTCAGTTTCAGGGAAGAATTATAGTTTATCTGGAAGCAGAGGTTTAATATGAGAGCAGGTGGTGAAAAAGTATGAAGTATGACAATAAAGGAAATCAAAGAAATGGGTATTTAGCTAGAGTGCTAGTAAGACTAAACAAAAGTGTCCCTCCCCCCAAAAATGGGAAGACTTCATAAAAAAGATCAAACATACTACAGATAAGGCAGAAGCAAGACAGAAAATGTATTCACAGATAAAATGAATCTCATATTCAATGTCAATCTCTTTTTTTTTTTTTTGCATTTTTTCACATTTTTTATTGGTGCATTTTAGTTGTATATGGTGGGATTTATTGTTACATACTCACACAAAAACACAGAATGCTTCATTAATTTGCATATCATCCTTGTGCAAGGGCCATGTTAATCTTCTCTGTATCATTCCAATTTTAGGATATGTGCTGCCAAAGATGCCATAATCTTTGTAATGCCTGATATATGCCAGGAAACTGTATTAAGCATTTCCACATATATTATCATATCTAATTCTCAACAGCCCTGTGAGGTAAGATAAACATACTTCAGAAACAAAGAATGAAAAGAGAATCAAGCTAGGCATGATGGAGTGCACCTGTAACTACAGCAACTTAGGAGGCTGAAGCAAGAGCATCTCAAGTTGGAGGCCAGCCTCAGCAACTTAATGAAACATTGTCTCAAAAATTTTTTAAAAAAGGGCCGGGGTTATCACTCAGTGGTAAAAGGGCCCCTGGATTCAATCCCCAGTACCAAAAAAAGAAAAAGAGAAATAAAAATCATACCAAATGACATTGTTTCATTAATAGAAAAAGGAAGAGAAAAGAGCAAGGTGGCTTTGAATAGGGCTTAATAGGAGATAAGAAACTAGCATTTATTGTCTACAATGCACCAGGCAACCTAATATCCTTTAGGAATGTGAATCTATGAAGTACTTACTATTCATAGAAGAACTTGTTTGATATGGTTTATGTGGGTAGCTCAGGAGGCTGAGGTAGGAGGATTTCAAGTTTGAAATTGTCAGCTTTGGCAACTTATCTTCAAAATAAAAAATAAAAAGGGCTGGAGATGAAGCTCAGTGGTAGAGTGCTCTGGGTTCGATCCCCATACTCCCGCTGCCCAAAGAAAGAAGGTTGAGGTTGTGGGAATTTTCCAAGATCAAAAAGCTAATAATTGGTGAGGTAGTGATTCAAGCCTAGGTCTATGAGACTACAAATTTTATTCCTTTCTACTACATTACACTGCCTCTTTAACATCAAGAATAAAAAGATTGGGCTGGGATTGTGGCTCAACGGTAGAGCACTCACCTAGCACGTGCGGGGCCCTGGGTTTGATCCTCAGCACCACATAAAATAAATAAGTAAAATAAAGACTGTGTCCAACTACAACTAAAAAATAAATATTAAAAAAAAAAAAAGAATATGGGGCTGGGGATGTGGCTCAAGCGGTAGCACGCTCGCCTGGCATGTGTGCAGCCCGGGTTCGATCCTCAGCACCACATACAAACAAAGATGTTGTGTTTGCCAAGAACTTAAAAATAAATATTTAAAAAAAAATTAAAAAAAGAATAAAAAGATCATGAAGGTCCAGTTAAAAGAATTAAAATGAAATAAGTAATGCCAACTCAGTACCTTCTCTGCATTCAACTACCCAGGTAAAAAGCATTTACCATTGGGGAGTTACTAAAGTTGCAAGAAATTAATTTGTATATTTAAGAACTAAGAAAGGGCAATTATTCAAATAATAATTGAATATCTTTACTAACTAAATATCTGCAAAATATTACACACTGGATGGTCTAGTAAGACTTTCTACCTAGCCATTTGAAGATACAGTTTGGGTATCTGTAAACAGTCCAAAATTCAACACTAATCTAAGGAAATATTTAATGTTAATCAAAGTATCAGAAAATATCCACCCAAGAATAACTTTTAGTTTTCAAAACTGACTATATTTACTAAGAGTAAAAGGCCTCAAAAAAACACACACTGAATTAAAACTTTTTAAAAACCAGGATACCCATTTATATTTTGTACTTTTATAATATAGGGTAAATACATCATGAAAAAATATAAAATGGAGCAGAAAGATCACTGGGCACTGTCCCATGAACAGAAGCTTTAACATTTCAGAAATGCCTAGAATCTTTTGTCTGAACTACTTTTGTTAACTACAACCACCAATAAAATAGATGGTATATTTTCATATTAGACAAGATCTACATTTGACAAACATTTTTTCTAATCTAAGATTGAAAGGGTAAAAGAAACTGAAGTTAAAATGTAAAGGACCAGGTATTGTAGAATTTCTAAGCTGCAAAGCCAGAGTTAAAATGTAAAGGACCAGGTATTGTTAAGTTTCTAAGCTACACTCAAAGTCTGAAATTCCTGTAGCTGTTAAGACAATTCCTGGGACTGCCCATTAGATATGTATAGGAATTCCCCCTGACCACTTAGTTGCTTAACAACTTGGGCCCAGTGCAGCTCAGCACGTAGGCACCTCAGGGCCTAAACCAATCAGTTTGAATGTATACCCCGCTTTAGGACTGACCTATCACCCCCACCCGACCTGTTCCTGCCAACAAATGTACTAATCATGTTTGAGAGTTGTTGTTCTATTTTCCCGCGCCTCATGATGATTTGCTCTGATGTATGCAAAGGCCCGCCCTCCCCAAAAAGTGTACTTAAGCACTGCTTAACCCCTACTTGGGGCTCTTGGCCACTGTCCCTTCTTGAGTGAGCACGGAGCCCCAGCGTGCTGGATCTGCAATAAACCCCCTTTTGCTGTTGCATGAGTCGGTCTCTTGGTGGTCTCTTCCTCCGTCGTTTGCCAGTCCCTTACATTTGGTGCATGGGCCGGGAATCCCGCAGCGCCAGGCAAAGAGACCCCAAAGGACTCCTCTAGGGTTAAGTAAGGTGCCTTTTTCCTTTTTCTTGTGATCGCTCGGAGTTTCGGTTTAAGGGTTGGCAGAGTGGCTGCCAGCGGAGAGCGTGAGCTCCCTCCGGCGGTGGTGGGCAGACGTGTCCTGAAGCCACAGGCCACGTCCCCAAGGGACGCCTTAGAGGACTCAGGAAAATGGGGGACGGAAGCACTCTCAACTCAGGTGTATTCAGCGACTATACTGCCAACCCATCAGGTTCTGCCGGCTACTCAGTTTTGTTCATTGTCTCGTGTTGAGTTTATTGTCTGTCTTTAGGGTACTTGTGTTAAATGTTTACTGTTTGTCTTTATCGTCTGTGTCGCATTTGTGTCGTTACTGTCACTGTTCGTGTATTTCCCATTATGGGACAAAGCCATTCCATGCCTAGTTGCTTAACAACTGACCCTCAATCATTGGACTGATGTCAGCTCAAGGGCCCAGAATCTTTCTTTTTCAGTGAAACGCCGGACCTGGCAGACTCTCTGTGCTTCAGAATGGCCCACCCTCGGAGTTGAATGGCCCCCAGAAGGATCCTTTCACCTCCCTCTAATCCACAAAGTCAGAGATATTGTCTTTCAGCCGGGGCCACATGGCCATCCAGATCAACAGCCATATATCTTAACCTGGCAGGACCTCTGTGAATCTCCTCCCACATGGGTGAAGCCTTTCCTTGTCCCTGCCCTCACTCCAACCCCTTCCCCCATGATCCTATCACTCAAACCTTCCGTTCCTCCCCCTTGTCCCTCCATTCTCCTTCTGGGGACTCTCTTCACAACGGAGGAACGAGAGAGAATCCTCTTGGAAGCCAGAAAGAATATTCTTGGACCAGATGGACGACCAACCCAACTTCCCAACATCATCGAAGCTGGCTTCCTCTTAAACCGACCCAACTGGGACCCCAACACCTTTAAAGGTAGGGAGCATCTGTCCACTTATCACCGGGCTTTTGCAGTGGGTTTCCGAGCGGCCGCCAGGCAGCCAACTAATTTGGCCAAGGTAAGAGAGATTATCCAGGGGCCTAATGAATCTCCCTCAATGTTTCTAGAGAGAATTATGGAAGCATATAGGAGATATACTCCCTTTGATCCTCAGGCAGAGGACCAAAAGGCATCTGTTGCAATGGCCTTTATTGGGCAGGCTGCCCTAGATATTAAAAGAAAGTTACAAAGTTTAGATGGGTTACAAGATATGACCTTAAGAGATTTAGTCAGAGAAGCAGAAAAAGTATATTATAAGAGAAAAACTGAGGAAGAGAGGGAACAAAAGGAGGATGAAAGGAGCAAAAGGCAAACTAAAGCATTGGCTAAGGTCCTGGTCACAGCTGCAGATAGGCCAGAAGTTAAAAAGCAGGGAGACAGGAAGGGATACCTGGGCCCACGCCAAAGGCTGCCCCTGGCCTCAGATCAATGTGCCTACTGTAAAGAAAAAGGACACTGGGCCAAAGAGTTCCCCAGAAAGAAGCAGCCACGCCAGCCTGCCATGCGGACTCTAGAAGATGACTAGGAAAGTCGGGGCTCGGATCCCCTCCCCGAGCTCAGGGTAACATTTGAAGTGGAGGGGACCCCAGTGAACTTTGAAGTGGATACAAGAGCAATATACTCAGCCCTTAAAACCCCACTGGGCCCCCTATCAAATAAAAGGTCCTTAGTTCAAGGGGCTAATGGCAGTAGATATCGGGCTTGGACAATAAAGAGGAATATGGACCAAGGAAAGGGAAGAATCCATCATTCTTTCCTAGTAATCCCAGAATGCCCAACCCCATTAATGGACAGGGATCTGCTCACCAAACTCCGGGCTAAAACCTTTAACCCTGATGGTCCCCAAATGGAGTTTCTAAATCCTTCAGTAAAAACTTCCATAGTCATGGCTTTGACTATGTCAATAGAAGATGAACATCAACTCTTCACGCCCCCTGGGACTAATCCAACAGGCAAACTACCCCAGAAATGGATAAAAGATTATCCTGATGCCTGGGCAGAAACTGCAGGGTTAGGTCTAGCCATAAAACAACCTCCAATAGTAATAGAATTAAAAGCCTCTGCCTCTCCAATCAGTGTTGAACAATATCCTCTAAGCAAAGAAGCTAGGGATGGGATAAGGCCCCATATCCAGAAATACCTGGCTCTTGGGGTCCTAAGTCCCTATCAATCGGCCTGGAATACCCCCCTGCTACCAGTAAGAAAGCCAGGAACTGGGGACTACTGTCCTATTCAAGACCTAAGAGAGATCAACAACAGAGTGCAGGACATTCACCCCACAGTACCAAATCCATATAATTTGCTTAGCACTCTGAATCCGGAGCGGAGATGGTACACTGTGCTGGACTTAAAAGATGCTTACTTCTGCTTGCCCCTACATAAGGACAGTCAATTGTTGTTTGCTTTCGAGTGGATAGACCCAGAGACAGGAACATCTGGCCAACTAACCTGGACTAGACTCCCACAGGGGTTCAAAAACTCTCCCACTCTCTTTGATGAAGCCCTCCACAGGGACCTCAACGACTTCAGAACTGCGCACTCCGAAGTCACCCTACTCCAATATGTGGATGATCTGCTGCTGGCAGCCGACAACAAGAAGAACTGTAAGTCTGGGACCCAAGCACTATTATCCGAGCTTGCTCAGCTTGGATATAGAGCTTCTGCCAAAAAGGCCCAAACTTGCCAGCAAGAAGTAATCTTCCTGGGTTATTCCCTTAGGGGTGGCAAACGATGGCTCACTGAGCCCAGAAAACCAATCGTTGTGCAGATACCGTCCCCATCTAATAAGAGACAACTCAGAGAGTTTCTTGGGACTGCCGGCTTTTGCAGGTTATGGATTCCTGGGTTTGCGTCTCTGGCTGCCCCCTTTATAACCTCTAATAAAGGGGGATGCCCAGTTCCAATGGACCCCTGAGCACCAACAAGCTTTTGATAATATCAAAAAGGCGCTGCTATCTGCTCCGGCCTTAGCACTCCCAGATGTAGAAAAACACTTCATTCTCTACATCGAGGAAAAGAAAGGAATAGCACGGGAAGTGCTCACTCAGACTTTGGGACCTTGGAAAAGGGCAGTAGCATATCTATCAAAAAGACTGGACCCAGTGGCTAGAGGGTGGCCCCACTGCCTAAGGGCTATAGCTGCGGCAGCCCTTCTAATAAAAGATGCTGATAAATTAACGTTGGGATAGAAGCTGACCATTATAGCCCCCCATGCCCTGGAGAGCATCATCCATCAGCCTCCAGACAGGTGGCTATCAAACTCCAGAATAACCTACTACCAGAGCCTCTTGCTTGACAAAGATAGAATAACACTGGGACTCCCTGCTCCACTCAACCCAGCTACATTGCTGCCAGAAGAATCACCAGGACCCGTCGCTCATAACTGTCAACGCATACTGGCAGAGGAGACCAGTATACGAGACTTAAAGGATCAGCCACTGCCTCGCCCTGAGGTCATATGGTTGACGGACGGGAGCAGCTTCCTCCAAGCAGCAGTAGTTAGCAAAACTAATGTCATCTGGTCCTCTGGTCTCCCAGAAGGGACATCAGCTCAAAAAGCAGAACTAATTGCCCTTACGAAAGCACTGGAACTAGCAACAGGCAAAAGGGCCACCATATACACTGATAGCCGCTATGCATTTGCCACTGCTCATGTGCACGGGGCTATTTACCAGCAAAGGGGGCTATTAACCTCCGCCGGGAAGAAAATTTAAAAAAAAAACAAAGATGAGATCCACCACCTTCTCTCAGCAGTAACAGGCCCTAAAGAACTAGCAATAGTGCACTGTCCGGGGTACCAGAAGGGGAACAACCCTGTGACAGTTGGAAACAGACGGGCAGATGAGGAAGCTAAGTTGGCAGCCCTAAACAGAGTGACCCTGTTAACTGTTTCCACCCTGGGGGAACAACAACCAGGAGACTTGGCTGCACAGGAACATTCAGGCAACTTATCGTCTGGGGACACAGATACAGAACTCTGGGACCCTTCAGAGCCAAGTTTACAATTTCAAAAAGCCCAACTTTACGTCAAAGACATACACCAGCTCACCCATTTAGGCTCAAAGAAGTTACAGGCACTCTTAAAGGACCAAAGAAAGGAATTATTGTTGACTGACTCACAGAAGAAAGAAATAGCTGAGCAGGTAACTAGAGCTTGTCAAGTCTGCCAATTAGTTAATGCTTATCCATCCAAGCTTCCTGCAGGTAAGCACTCACGAGGAACCAGACCCGGACAATTCTGGGAAATGGACTTTACTCAAATTAAGCCAGAAAGGTATGGACTTAAGTATCTCCTAGTCTTTGTAGATACTTTTTCAGAACGGGTTGAAGCCTTCCCCACGAAGAAAGAAACAGCCCAGACGGTGGTCAAAAAGATCCTAGAGGGCATTTTTCCAAGGTTCGGCCTGCCTAAGGTAATAGGGTCCGATAATGGACCAGCGTTCATGGCCCAGGTAAGTCAGGGATTGGCCAGGACTTTGGGGATTGATTGGAAGTTACATTATGCTTATAGACCCCAGAGCTCAGGACAGGTAGAAAGGATAAATAGAACCATCAAAGAGACCTTAACGAAATTAAGCTTGGAGACCGGCATAAAAGATTGGACTATGCTCCTACCTTATGCACTGTTTCGTGCAGGAAATACCCCCTCCACCTCTTTATGTAACCTCACCCTTTATGAGATTCTGTATGGTTCCCCTCCTCCAGTAAGGGACCTAACCCCAACTCTGAGACTTAATGATTCCTTTCACACCCCCTTGCTTAATGGTTCAATTTGAATTGGGTAAACAGATAAAAGTAAAGATGTCTTTAAAATTAAGCTTATAAGTTAATAAGCTTATAAGTTAATAAGCTTTTTAGGTGTTCAAAAATAAAACCTAATAAAATGTTGATGTCTATAAAATAATCTGCTTAAATTCAAAAATTTACAAGTACTGTTTCAAAATGTGAACAGAAGGAGGTTAGCAGATGGAAAAGAGAAACTAGAAGGTTCTAGATATGGATTTAATAGAGGGAAAATGTGTTTCTGGATAAGAGAGTCTAAGAGATTAAGTAATTAAGAGGGTTTAAGTAAGTGATATAAAGAAGGTCTGGTTATAAGTGTTGGTTATAAGTGTAAGTTTTTGAGCAAGTAATCTTAGAAAAATTAAACAGCTGATTAAACAAGTGCTACTTTTAGAAAATTGTGCTGTTATTTCTTTAAAAGCTAAACTTGGTTAATATAAAAACATCAATGTAATTATGGTGCTATTAATATGTTCATATCTTCCAGGTATACAAGTCTGTAAGGTAGAAGCTTCAAAAGAACATTGTATCAAGCTGGTGTTCTAAAGATGTATGGTAATTTTAGGCTTAAAAGAAAAACATGTTGGAGATTTATTTATATCATTTGTGTTCCATAGCTGGACTTGTTATCAATAAGATATGTAAAATCCTATGTTACTTTTTACACTGAGATATAATTTAAATGTATTTTTAAGTTAATGAGAGCCTAATCTGTGTAAAGGTTTTATTGCAAAACACAAAAATATTTTGCTACTTTTCTACAAAAGGTTAAAAGCTTTCAGTCTTTCTTTAATTCATGTTTTAGATGTGACATTATGTTGTGTTAGCTAATATCCATGTAAACTTGAGCAACAATTTATGTAGGCTTTGTAAAATAATGTCTAAAAAGCAAAGATCAGTTTCAGAACTACAGTACTTAAAATTTATGAAGAGCCCTGCCTTACCTGAGATAAGGCTCTATGTCCCATCTCACTACATGTGAGAATGACTACAAAAGAAGTAGGCCAGATTTCAGTACATTTAAAGTTGTGTTCAAAAGTTGGTTTTCGTCACGATTGCCAGGATCTCAAACAGCGGATATGCTCCACCAAAATTCAAGGTAGCTATTATATGAACTAAATGTTTTTACTCTTGATAATTTTATTTTGTAGTTTTCTTATAAATGATTTAAGAGATTCAAGCTCTCATTCGCCTGCTTCTCGCAGCCAAACCGCTATGATTCAGCACTAACGATCCTGCCAAAACAACTGGTCGGCCCTTCTGATCCTACGGAAGTAAATGCCAACTGAGCCTGCCTAGGTAGTGGCCACAGGATTGAAACGGGTCTTGGGAGAGACAGACAGGACCCACCCGTTGCATTGATCACCCAGCAAAGGGAACAAACTGTCACCATTTGCATGGGATACCACCATGACAGAGAACTGACGTCACCAAAACGCGGTGGAGGAGATAAATTCATTGAAACCAGCGGCAACAGGTGTGTAATCCCCTAGCCTTCCCTCTCCACACAGCGGGGAAACCTTAAGGGCCCCTCCCCGCTCCCAGCTCTCCCATGAGCACGATAGCCAGACAAAGGGAATCAGGAGTGGCACGGAACTCGCGGCGCTGAACTCCTGGCTACCGCTCCCACCAGTGCTGACAACTGAGGTCCCTTGCACCAGCTACCGGGGACGTGGCTTCCGCAGGGCAAGCAAATTCGCTGAGGATTCTCAGCCCCAAGCTCTACAAACTTAGGGTCTGAGGGAATGGCAAACAGGGAGAGTGTACCCAGGCGTTCATGAAAACAGAGCTCCCAGGAGCAGCAGACCTGGCGTGTAGCCAATATTGTGGTGACTGTCACCAGTGAGCGGGGCCTGGCTTGAGGAAAAGAGGGGAAGTATCTAGACACAAGAGAAGGCCCTAGGCACCCAGGATTGGAGACCTGCCCAGTCTGGGAGGAAGAGCTGCTGCACAGTGATTGGTTCCCGCCTATTGAGAGGAGACGCTTGGCCCAGTAGGCACAGCTCCACCTACTGGAAGAGAAGTTAATCAAACTCTAAGACTGCATTTATTAATTTTTTTTCCCTAATTTGGTTTTTTTTTCATTTTCATTTTTTTGTTGTTGTTTTGTAAATATTTTTTTAATTTTTTTAAATTTTTTTATTATTTTATTTTTTAATTTTAATTTTCATTTTTTTTATTATTATTTGTCTTTTCATTTCTTTTCAATTCTCTTATTCCCCCTTCCTTGAATTCTATCTGCTTACTCTCATTCTCTTTAGTGACTTCTTCCCTTCTCTTCTAATACCTTTTCTCCCAAGCATCAAATAAATTTATAGGAGTAAAAAGTAACTCAGCAGTCAAACAGAACAAGAAGTAACATGAGCAGCATGAAAAAGCAAGGAAGAAAAGGAGTACAAACAATGCAGGACAGCCTAAATATTCAGGAGGACCTAGAGCCATCAGAAAAATGGTTATATAAGGAACTCAAGGAATATCTTAGACAGATGGAATGGAACCTTAAAGAGGATACGAGACAGCAAATTCAAACAGTGAAAGAATACATTGAAAATGAATTACATAAACAGATAAAAGAAGAAGTTAAGCATCTTTATCAGGAGATAGAGATTATTTAAAAAATCAAACAATAATTCTAGAAATGAAAGAAA